CTATTTTATTAAATCAAGCTACGAAAGTGCGCAACCTACGTAATATGACCTCAAAGTACAGTAATATGTCAGACCAGACAGACTGGCAAAGAAAAAAGATGATGATAAAGATAGTGCACGCACTCTTTATGTTGTGAGGCAGAGCCATCTGCTGAAACCTTAGAAATAGCTATGAATATATAGATCACAAAATAAAATTAAAATGGGCATAAATTAGCTATTAGAAATATAATCAACCATATGTCAATGCCTTCCTCAAGCTCAGCTCACTTGTTTGGTAAATTGTTTTAATGTCTGTTGGCTTAAATTATCCTTTCAGCACATTCAAAACTGCATATCACAGCTATTAGCTATCTTGTGCTTGCTTATGATTATTAACCCCCCAAAAATATACCATCGATCCTTCTTTTCATCTGATATATATCAGCCAAAGGTTTTTTTTTTCAGTACTGCTTATAACATGCTGTCTTATCTGAGCATGATTCATCAATACATACAGAAATAATGAATCCACTGCTTCTTGAAGTTTAACTTTGTAAAACATGAGTGTACAGTGCAGGAACTCTGAAATACATTGTTTGGGAGATATAATTACACCCTGCCACTACCTTTTTGACGTGTGATTCATGAACTGTTTGAAACGATCCATTCGCAAATTTACTTTGGATCAAGAAATGTTATTGACGGTAATTTAATTGCTGATAACCAAAGTGGCTTTCTACATGACACTGGACTGTACACTCAACACTGTAAGGTCTGTGAGGAGAGTAGGGTCAGAATTCTGTAGACAATAATTCTTCAGCATCTTTCACCCTTGATTTTGGGGTGACAACCTGTTTATAATGTGTGTGTATATATGAAAACGCTACCATAATATAATGTAAATATAAGATGGCTCTTAGTGGATCTAAAAGGAGATTAAGGGAACCATCTTCATCCAGGTGGTGGTGAGAATTTGGAACTTGTTAGAAGCTGCGGTTGAAGCAAATCAATATATTTAAAAGAAAACTTGATGCATCCAAGGAAAAGGGGAAAGAGAGGTGTAGGTGAAGGGCATAGGTGGCTAGTGTAGAGGGTAAGCTATGAGGGCTGTTTCTGTATCATATCATTCTATATAGTTCTATGTTTGTAGATTTTTGGAAACCAATTAACTCCAGGACAAGAGCTTCTAAGCCTCGAGGGTTAACTGATACCAGTGAGTAGTTTCATCACTGCAAACTGCTCAATTCAAGTGAGCTGGTAATGTTTTTTTTTGATAGGCGCATATAGCATCACACCTGACCAGACTACTAGTAGGCATTTTTAAAGGAAGCTGAGAATACCATAGAACGACAACCATCCTAATGGAACTGCAAAATAAGTTGCCTTCCCTTCCCCCTCCGCTTTTCTACATCTGTGGCTGCAGTTGTCAAAATGCATTAAACAATTGGAGTGTGCGATGCCGTGTAAAAAATGCAGTGTTTGCTTGGTAATTCTCAGTCCTTGTCATATTTCAAAATAAGGAGGATCTGCAGACACTGTTTTTACATTACTGTCAAAGAGTGAGAGATCTGTGCAGTTGGGCTTCACTATGCAAAGCCTGGTTGTTTAATATGTTGACTCCAATTTCTCATTGTAAACTTTACCCCAACCTAAATCCCGAACTTAATTTATAGTATACTCGTGATAAAAATGAACCTCCCGTGAAACTTCCAGACATTAAATCTTTCAGTCGTGAATTTATAAACGTATTGTTCAATCTTGTTCGTATCAAATTGTAGTTTTAAATGTCTGGCTGTGTTTTCTGACATTAACTTGTAAAATGTGTTAGCAGACTGAGTTTCCATACCTACAAAATATTTAATCCATCACATTGACATTTGCAAAACTGTGATGCATTTTTTTTAAAAACCTTGCGATTCCCTTTGGTGTGAAGTGTGCCTCTGGATATACTAACTTAACTCGCTTTGACTCACACTAAGCATTACTTACAAAATGTGTTTCAGCGGAGAAAACTGCTCATTAATCCATTTCTAACATTTTCATGCTGACAGAATAACTTTAATTTGAAGGAAAAGGAATAAGGAGATGCGAGAGGCTTGTAAAATCAGCCTTAATTATATTTTGTCAAATGGCCACTGAGCACTAAAGCAAGTTCACTGAGAAAGTGCAAGAGGATTGAGAATTTAGAATGATGACACTTCTAACATAATGAAACTCAAATGGAATTGACATTGGCAATCTTGGCCGAAATTATGTATACATGGTTTTGCTGGCTGTTTCACAATTACTTGAACATTTAAATCCCACTTTAATGAATAGCTTCTGGCATCAAAGCATCAAAGGATTAGAACCGAAAAATCAACACAGGTGACTCAAGGAAGAAGAATAACTTCACAAATGTAACATTTTGGTCAGCCGGGTGTCTGACGCATGCAGAAACCCATCACCAAGAGTATCCAAACTCGACTGAGAATTTCCCATATGTATGTCACCTACACATGGAAATCTCCCCGAGTCTGGAATGAAATGCAGACTCTTTCCCTGGAGGGACACACAGTGCTTAAGTAATTCCAGAGAGTGTTAGGCAACAGGTTGGCAAGAACCAAGACTTCAAGACCACAGAATGTGCATTGGAGTATTGCTGGAGTTTAATCAGCTAATATCACATAGCTTGCCATTGAGAGCACCATCTGATAAGCTGCTGCTTGAGCAGCTAAGACCACCCTACCCGTGGTTAACGGGAGATGAGTGGGAAGAATCCCTGCTCCAGTCTTCCCTTCCAAGACCTGCCTATGAGCTAGCCTGGCTTGTCTGTTATCCGCAGGACCCTGGTGTACCCGAGACACACTTGGCTCACGATTACCGAGAGACGGTTCACTGAATTCCAACAATCTGTTACCAAGCACATCACCGCAAAGCCAGCTCAAGCCCCAAAGAGACTCAGTTTACCTCCTCCCATTCCCAAGAAGGATAACCACTAGTTGGTCGTGTATAAATCGAAGAACAATATACGATTGGAAGATTATCTTTTCTGCCAAGAGAGCAAAAGGGGTTCATAAAGAAAGCAGAAAAATAACTGCTAGTCACGGGCAGAAATACATTTCAGATTCTGAAATGCATTTCAGATTGTAAATTTCAAGACGTGAATTCATATTGTGCAACAAAGCCCACTTGTCTTGTCAGCCTAGACTTGTTGGACTTTTTTTTCCTGTGCTTTTTGGGCCTGGCTGGGTTAAGTGGGAAGGTCATTCTCCAAGATGAAAATCTTTGCTGGTCAGAAAACGAGGGCAAGAATGTGGAGGACGCCATGAAAATACAGAGTATGATTTATTCCAACAGATTCAATTCATGGAAAACGAAAGGACACTCTAACATTCTGCAAACGCCTTTGATACTCATTTGTATCGATTGGGAGAAATGTGTTTTTTAAAAAAGAAATAACATTTATATTAAAACTGCGACAGACTTTTGTTAGATTAATAGTTATTTCACCTAATTTTTATTCCGTTTTTAACTTTTGTTTTAATGAAAGGACGATTGAAAGCGCCAATAAAAAAAATCTACTGATTTTAATAAACATGTACCACATTGTGAAAAAAAAACTTCTATACATTCACATTACATATTCACTGCAATTGATATTTGCCGGATCGATTTTGTTTTCACACATGATAATTTTTCTTCATTAAATATTGTTCACCAGTAATTTTCTTAATGTTTTATAACACTCTCACTTACAGACACACAGCCATTACAATTTGCAGTAAATCTTATGTATCTCTTTGAGACATCCTCCCAACATAAGTCATTATATCAAATGCAAGGGTTAAGAAGGGGAAAGCGGGGTGGTTTACAGTGGGTGGGGATGGGGCAGGAATTTTTCCCTCTTTCCTATAGAGGAAACTGTTCCAATACTGATCCAAATCAATCCCCGAAACTTTCTGATCCATTTTTCTCCTTCGAATGTGGGCAGACCTGCTGTTGTTTGCAAAGATTTCTGTTTCATAAACAGTTGGAGATAGTTTAAGACACTTGTGTATAACTTCACTCTATTGCTATATGATAGTCCCAAGCGGCAAAACTCAATGTGTCAGTTTTTTTACCTCTTATCATTTAATTAATGTCTTCTGGAAAGGTTAATAGCTTTACCTCTTCACACTACCAGGACACAGCATTGCCAATCAGGATCAGTGCACCTTCTTTCAATGGTATTTGTGTGGAACTGTTAAATAATACCTAAATAGCTATTTCAAAGGATGAATGGAAATGAATTCCCAGTAATACTTTCCTAATTGTAGCTCAACAGTCAGGTCAGGTTTGGAATGAGACAATCACAATTCTCGGAAAACTTCTTAAACTTAGTTGCACACTGAACGTGACAACTTAAGCAATTCTCACCGGGCAGAAAAAGGAAAGGGAAATAAAATGAGTTCAAGTGCAAAAACACACAGTAAGATGCATTGAAAGGTAACTTACTCAAGCAACCACAACAATAAAAGTTAATGATACATTATTCGCATTGAATAAAGTAGTTATGGGCATAAAGTATCATTATCCATTAAGTAAACTATTTAACTGGCTAGATTATGTGCTGAGGATGCAAGACTTCACCTCAGAAATTGAAGACGTAAGCATTGTTATATTTTGCCAGAATAATCTGGCAAACAAACTGCAGGAAAAGGGATACATTGAGTTCCCCAAATTCTAAGCAGAGGTTTTGTCTATATGATAGCATTCACTTTCAATCAGTTATATTTTCTATGATCTTCAGTAGGCTGTTTATTTTACCTGAAAGGTGCTATATAATTGTAAGGTATAATAATAATAATCCTTGAAATTGATATTGCGCCTTATCACATCTTTGAGGCACCTCAAAGCGCTTCACAGAATATACTGTAAATAATTTGACTGTATTTTGCGGGCGAAACGCAGCAGCTGATTAGAGTTGTGATTGAAATGAACACATTTTTTAAAAAAATTATGTATTATAACACTTGTACTGGTCCTAGTCTACTAAACAATAGGACCAGGAGATATGTATACAACATTTACATTATAAATTTCATTACATATAGAGTTTTACAAGGCAGTCAAAATATATTGCACGTTGGCAATGTTTTTTTTAAAAATCAACCCACAAGCTGGCAAAACAACACAGCTCAAAAATGAGAAGCTCGGGATTTAGATATCAGGTTCTTGAATCCATTGATACTGTATCTGACAAATCGGAACATAGAATGCTTTATGATCAATTTTGAAAGAGTAGCTATCGTGAAATGAACCACCCCTCCACCCTCCTACAGCTGTCTTGGACTCATATACATTGATTTTTACCCTGCTCTTGAATGGAAATAAACGAGCATGATTTTTTGTAAAAGTAGAGATTTGCTTTGTCAAAATAAAAGTAACAATAACGTACTAAAACCATATCGACTAGTTACATTCTCCATTTATAAGCACTGAAAACAGTTCCACCTTCCAAATGTACATCACTGATCCTTTCTGTGGTTCCATCAAGAATTGTGCACACCAGGGGTTCAGTACTTAAAATGGTGTACACTTTGGTTTTCCCAGTGTCCTAATTGAATTTTTTGTGATTGCTGTGTTCTAAATGTTTGTTCTGCATCATCGTGGAAATCAAATCTATGGCTCCTTCCATTGATAATGAAAGGTTTCTGCAAATCATCAACGCTGGATGTTCTTGGTGTGTAGGTGTGAAGATTATCATCAAGTAAGCAATAGGACTGATCCGCATTATATTGAAAATGTGCTTTCTGAAAATGAAATTTGAAACAGATGACCGGGTGTTAGCACATTGCCTTGTACCTAGCAAACTAAATTTATCCAATAATGCACTCGGATTATTTGTCTCGGATTACATAGTCATCGAAATTTATAGCATAATAGGAGGCCATTTGTGCTGCTTCTCCAATTTATTAATCCAATTCACCTTTTCTTTCCCCAGTAATACAGCAACAATGCTGGCATAAAGTTTAAGCCTTTCCCTAACCAGTTGGGATTCTCCTAAACCCAGCAATTGGTTTGGTGGCTGTACCACCGTAATTCTATTTGTTAAAGAAATGGGGTCCAAGGAGAAATTGGACCAAAATGAGACATTACTGAAATATGGTATTCAATACTATTGAATTGAAATCAAACTCTAGTCTCCATAGTTTAAATGGGGAGCAATGGACTAAAGTGCGACTAAATCATAGACAAAACAGCTCTTCTATCTCCAACAGTTTTTCCCATCTGCAGTTGGACACTGAGGACGGATGGATTTGTAAATGTTTCCAAGGATAACATGAAAATAGTCAGACCAAATCTCAACAAATGTACAAACTAAAAATTATGACCAATGCAGCTATGTCTGGAGAAAAATAAACGAGTTTTAAATGGGGGTAAGAAAAATAACTTATTGAGCAGAAGAATTACTCTCTGTGCAGCACACACCCATTCTGACACAGTGTTTATTTGAGGAAGAATGCTCAGGTGAATCTAATACTTGCAACAAAATGAAATCATTTCAAGAGGAAGACATAACTGCATTGGTTTTTAATTTGCACATTTGGAGCGACTTGTCATTTGAAGATATTTGCTAACTATTTTCATGTTACCTTTGGACACATTTACCAACCCGTCCCTCCTCAGAGAGAGAGAGAGAGTGTAAAACTAGAATCACCTGATATCGTTCATTCACTGAGTTGTTTGCTCCACTTCTGTAAGATCCCACCATAGCATGCTCAGAACAGTCGAACGGGACTTTCTAAAGTTCAGAAAGATGAAATGGATGCATTCTGAGAACAACAACTTGCACTTACATAGCACCCTTCACGCAGGGCAGCGTCTCGGAGCGCTTAACAGTGGCGGAACCTGACTCCGAGCTGGGTGGGGGCTGGTGGGGAGATGGCCGTAAGCACGGTCGAAGAGGAAGGTTTTCAGATGGGACTTGAAAGAGAGGGGGCAAGGTGGAGGGATTGAGGGAGAGTGTTCCAGAGTTTCGGGGAGTAGCGGCTGAAAGTGCGACCTCCAATGGTGGGGCGGAGGGTGCGAGGGACGAGCAGGAGGCCTGTGCCAGTTGAGGGGAGGCGCCAGGTAGTGGATTGGGGAGTGAGGGGGTCGAAGAGGTAGGGAGGTGCCAGAGAGTGAAGGGATTTGAACAACAAGTACAAATTGCATTCATATCGGGATGGCATCCAGGATTAAGTTTTCCGTTCGGGTCTAATCATACGATTCAATAGGAAAATATAACGGTGTTTAACTCACTGTCGTGTTTACTCCACTTCGGTAAGGTCTCTTTGCAGAGCTATGTGTTACATATTTAGACCAGTCCATCAAATGTTTCTAAAGGTTTTTTTAAAAAAGAAACAAACCAATTGTTGAAAATATAGCGCATATTGAACTAGAAGGAAAGTTAGTATAAAATAGTAATAATCTCTTCTCTTCCCCACTCCACCTCCTCCTCCCACCAACCACCACAAATAATTTCTGGGTTTTGAGCTAAAAGATGTACCTGGTCAGGTTGACATTCAATGTTGTACTTTTTCAAGCTGGATATACCGTCTTTTTCAAAATGTTTCAATTTAGTTTTGGCTTTGGACCAAGATAAAAGAAAGACAACTGTGGGACAAAAGAGTAAAACCACGCTTGTTAATCATATTAATATCGGAGAATAATAATAATAATCCTTGCATTTGATATAGCGCCTTATCACGTCGCTGAGACGTCTCAAAGCGCTTCACAGAATGTACTGTCAAGAGAATTTACTGTGTATTTTGTGGCTGAAGCGCGGCAGCCAATTGCGCACAGCAGCGTCCCACTAACAGTTGTGGATTGAGTGATCACATTATTATACGTCAAAGATCCCACTTTACTGTTCAAACAGAGAAGGGAGTTTCACCCAGTATTCTGGCAAACAATTCCCCAAATGAAATTGGTCCTGCACCTATCCCATTTGCTGTGGTCATTGCTGTGTGCAAATTGGCGACTGCTTTTACCCACAACATATTCAATCACAACACTTTACAGTAAAGATTGTGAAGCGTTTTGAGATGATTCGATGATGTGATAAAGTATTATGTCAAATTGGCAAGGATTATTCTTATAAAGGATTATTATTTATTATCATAAAGCCTTTTTTCCTATATGATTCATGTGGCTGCAGGCTGGAAATAAAAAAGCCTTTAAGTAACCCTCATACTTTGCTCTTCCATGCCATTTTTCTCTTGTAAAGTTATTGTATTTTATTTTCAATTGATTTTAGAAATTAATAATCTGAAAAGATATGTAAGGGGGACATGTAATCGCTTCCCTACCAACCTGCCCGCTCTCTCCGTTCAGCGGGCTCCGGCCTGCTCCATGTCTCCCGCCCGACCCGCTCTACCATCGGTGGCCGGGCTTTCAGCCTCTCTGCCCCCACAATCTGGAACTCCAGCCCACAGTCCCTTCACCTCGCTTCCTCCCTTGCCTCCTTCAAGGCCAGTCTCAAGACCCTCCTCTTCGTTCGTGCCTTCAGTCAACCCCCCCCCCACCTCTCTGCTTTCTCTCGCCCCCTACCCACCCCTCCGCCATGTTCAGGTCCTGACCCCTGAATGTCCAGCGCCTTGGGACGTCCTCCCGACGTGAAAGGTGCTGTATAAATGTACTTTTGTTGTTATTGTTGCTTAATGTATGACCCCGGATTTCCATGGATTTGTAGAAATGAGAGTTGTATAATGCCTTGGGACGTCCTCCTGACATGAAAAGCGCTATATATGTAAATTTGCATTGCATATCGTATTGTTTTAAATTTACCCCTTGGTTTTCAGAGCACATTTTAAAGTCAGACTATTAAGGACAAGAACAATTTACATTTATGTAGAGCTGTTCACATCAGGATGATGTGTCAAAACGCTGCACGCAATTGAACGGGAGCCGCAACTGGAGGCAGTGGTGGGTGGGGGGATGGGGAGAAGGCTGAGGAGGCAATGGAAAGAGGGTTGAAGCACAGTCAAAGAGATGAATCTTACATTGAAATTTATTGCTGTTCAAAACATGTTTTTTTTACTGTGCACAATTGGCTGCCGCATTTCGCCCACAACATACACAGTCGCTACACTTTACACTATATTCTGTGAAGCGCTTTGAGACGTCTTGAAGACGTGATAAGGTACTATATCAAATTTAAGGCTTATTATTGTTAATACCTGGGGTTGATTGTCTAGCAATCAGTCTAATTAATTTGCTTACTTTCTCCGCTGTCCTGTTTCAAAGATAGAAAAATAATAAAATTTATTCACAAAGCATCTCACTTGTAACTGAAACCAAGTATACCTGCTCAGCTTTCATACTCCAGGATTGTGCTGATCTAAGGTCTTTAAAAGCCGCAAAGTCTATATTGAATAAAATGGATTTGCTGTAAATTTTAATTTCAAATGAGAATTGTGTTGGTGTTTCAATTGGGATCAGCTCTGGTGATGTTGTTTCCCTCACAAAGAGAAAAATCCTCTGTTCGCAATTGCAAAGTCATTCCCATAAACTACCAAAGCTATTAATTACCTTAATATTCCGAATATTCCCATCTTTCAGCTGCGGTGTATGTCTCAGTGATTTATAATCACTTATTGAAAATGTACTTTCCAGCTTGCTTTGTTGCCTTTGAGCTACTGTTCTTAGTAGTAAATTACTAGAACTGCTCTCTAAATAACCAATAAGCACTTCTCGCTTGGGAACATAAATCTTTCTGACAAGATCTGCCACCCGGCTCTGGTGTTGTAATGAATAGAAGATGAGTACGGTTTTCACTAAGGCTTAAGATGCGGTTAATGGAGTGATAGGGCCAGGATTGGAATTTGATTTGGTCACAGCACCTTTCTTGAGACTATTCTAAATTCAGGGATGTCTCTTATAGACTCTTCTTGTATTACTCAACGAAACACCTAAACATGCAAACTGATTTGCGGTCTATTTTGTCCTGTGCTGTATGAAGGTTGGAAACCAGGAACAGACGGAGTCTATTCAGCCCACAAAGTCTGTTCCAACCACTTTATCAGATCTTGGTAGATTTAACTTCAATGTACTATTGACAAATTCCTTAATACTTCTACTAGTCAAGTATCCACCTATCTCTCTTTTAGGTAGGTATAAACTCCGAATAGTACATTTTACAATTCCAAAGATAATAATAATAATAATAATAATAATAATCCTTGCATTTGATATAGCGCTTTTCACGTCGGGAGGACGTCCCAAAGCGCTTCACAGAATATACTGTAAAGTGAATTGACCGTATATTTGTGGGCGAACGCGGCAGCCAATTGCGCACAGCAATGTCCCACAAACAGTCATGGATTGAAAATTACCAATTTATTATTGTTTTTTTTGGAGGGATTATTATTAGGCTCTGTGTGGAGTAAGGAAACTTGCCCAAGGTTTCGCCCTCTGCCTGGAATTGAACTCAGGTCTCTCACTTGCAAAGTGAGTGCTCTAACCCTGAGCTACAGGACTCCAAGATTCACAAATCATGAAATTGAATCCATGCGCGAGATGATTTTCATTATTAAATAATAATAATTCTTAAATTTGATTCTGCACCTCTCACACTGGGAGGAAGTCTCAAAGCTTTTAACAGGATTTATTTCAAAGTGTAGTGACTGTGTTCTTTGTAGGCCAGCTGAATTGAGAATGAACTGGCAAATGGGCTGCAATTGTAATGACCAAGGCTACCATCAGTGTCAAATGCTTTCTCTGCACCACGTGAGAATTCAGAAGTGTTCAAAGCTTGAGTATACATTTCTCCTTCCCTGGTTTAGATACTTACAAAGCAATAACAGTAGACTGGCAAAGATGAGAACAATGGCATCACCTCCCAACGCGGATGAAGGTGCTTTGTCCAAGCAATTGCGCCCATCAGGGCAATGGCAAATTCTTAAAGTCAAAATGTCATCGTTGAATAAATTTTGCTTGTCATGGATTCTTAATGGTAGAGAATAAGTTCCAACTGGAAAATCCTGCAATTTTACTAGCTCGGTAGAATTATCTGTTGACAACAAATAATTATGTTAAATTTAATCAACCCATTGCAGTGAACTTTACTAACCCGCCATAAACATTAATTTGATTACCAAACCCGTCGTAATTTGATTTGATGAAACATATAACTTTGAATTGCATAACCTTGCTCGCCTTTAATACATCTTATGACTTAAAAGGAAATTTGTGCCAGTTCATACTTCACCCCAAAGTCACAAATTTAATTGAAGCTTACAGAAGTGAATAAAAACGAGATAACATCCTCGAAAAGCAATTGTCCTATCCATTTCTATTCACTATATAAATCCACTAACAGTGAGAGTGACATCGAAAAGATTGTAAAGGACTGACAAAATCCAAGTGACAGTTCAATCTACTTCAGTGAGAGTGACATCAAAAAGATTGCAAAAGACTGACAAAATGTAAGTGACAGTTCAATCTACTTCTCAGAATTCATACCATCATGGGTGCCAAACTTCCACTTGTCTTTGATGCCATTTTCATTCTCCAGAAACTCAAATATAAATGGATGGGAGAAAGGATAATTGTCCTTATCTACTGCTGTGACTTTTACTTTTGAATGAATGCTGCACATGTTCAATGTGGTGAACTTCAGAAAAGGTGTGTTGTCATTGATATCTGTGAGGAATATAACCAAAGTTCCTGTTCCCGTCAAAGGAGGTGTAGCTGGAGAGGAAATAATAATAGTAATAATAATCCTTGCATTTGATATAACCCCTTATCATGTCATATAGACATCTCAAAGTGTTTTTTTGTTAACTGCTTTCTATTTTTTCGCAAACTGATTTGTTGAATAAGGCAATTTAAACAAGATGTGCTACAAAAGCCTTGCAAATTGACTGGCTTTGCTTGCAATATATAATATTCATTGTCCCAATATAAAATAGCTTTAGGAAATTGTGTGTGTTTATCCCGAAGTAACTCTGTTAAGGTCTTGATATTGCTGTTCAAATGATACAGTACTATTAATTGGATATTAGGAACATGCAGTATGTTCAACCCTTGAAGTGTTCAGTCTTGAGGCAACTCTAATAAATGTATTCTCATTCACGGCCCCAGTTGCTTCAGGGACACAGATCGTGTAAGATTTTGCATCTTTTTTTTCTTTTCTTGGCTGCAAAACGGGTCTGTCAAGCCATTTAGCCCGCGATGATCAACTCGTAGAAATTTGGAGCCCACACAGTTCCACCAGCAGCGTTAGGGTCAATAAGCACACACGCTTCTAATTCTTACAAAATAGTTCACAAATTAAAATGGAAAATATGCCCCTTAAGTGAAAGTCATTTCTGTGATCATTCAAAAAACGTAGAAAGAGATGTTAGTACTTACCATCATCAATCGCCAATATGGTGACATTGTAGAAATTGTTCTTGACGTAGATTGATTCTCGATCCAGTACTTTCTTAGTTTTCACAATCCCAGTTTCTGAATCCACATCAACCCAGTCATCCGGATCAAATCCCTTCTCGTATCTTGAGATGAAATTAAAATAATGCATTTGGCTAATGTTCGATTTCTCAACAAAAAAAAAGCTATTTTGCATTGTTGTGGGCTGAAGCCATTATTCATCATACTTCCCACTGTTTAAAGAGCTCAACCATTTAAAAGGCCATTTGGATGTGCAAAAAAATTAAAATGAAAGAGACAGCGTTTGTTGATATGCTTAACAACTGGGGTAAGAGTTAGTTCCCGATTGCCAACTGTTGTTGGTCGATTGGCGGATCGCTTTTCCGAGGGTAATAATCCCTTCAAAAATAAATAATAAATAAATATATCAAAATAATAATGATTTGGTCACTCAATCCACAACTGTTTGTGGGACACTGCTGTGCGAAATTGGTTGCTGCTTTTCACCTACAAAATATACAGTCAATTCACTTTACAGTTTATTCTGTGAAGCGCTTTGAGACGTCTCGAAGACATGATAGGGCGCTGTATCAAATGCAAGGATTATTATTATAATTACTAGTATATTTTACAATGCCTTTAAGGATTGCAACAATTTGGGCTTCCAAAATATAGACCGATTCCCTGAAACAAAATTCCATTAACTCTTTTTATACTGTTGCTACGATTCTTTTAACCCAGTTTCTGGTCTTGAAAATAACATTTTATTGCTTGGCAGAATACCTTATTGTACGATAAAATATCAAATCCGATCAGTGACTCATTGCAGAATATGATACATGTATTCGAGTCAACCCCAATCCGATGCAAAAGAGACTTGACTGATAACTGCCAATGAAAAAGGGACCTTTGTAAGCTGATAATAAGCAAGGAAATGTTTTTCCGATGTCACAAGATAACTTGGGAAGATCATTCATAGTGCAGCAAGTGGGTTTTGCATAAAATCCACATTTGTTTCTTTGTTGACCAGTTTGAATCAAGATAACAAACGGGGAAACAGAAATTCACTGTTCTCATTTGACATCTCAAATATATCTGTGACTGTAGTCACATGAGCAACGATAAGTATCATTTAGAGAAGAAAACATTTGAAATATAAGATAGTTAGTAGTAAATCTAACAGGGAGCTTAAGAGGAACGTGTTCACGCAGAGGGTGGTGAGAACATGAAACTCTCTGCCCACAGGTGTGGATGAGGAGAAAATATGTTGTATATATGAGGGAAAAGAGAAAAAGAGGAATACAGGAGAGGGGAACAGGAAGGCTGGGGCTTGTGTGGAGCATAAACACTGGCACAGACAAGTCAAGCCAACTTGCCTGTTTCCATTCCGTCTCGCTCCAAATGATGCTAACATTTCATTTAATGGGCTTTTGCTTGCTTTTAAAGGGGTGTAAAATGAGGACGTTATTACTGGTTCTAGTTATCATATCTCATACTGTATTTCGCAACCCATTTCCTGATCAAGAGATGGCGGGGGTGGGGGGGGTGGGATAGGAAAACTCGCATTTCACAGAGGAATAACATTAATTTCATTACATTGCAACATGCAACAGATCGTATGTTTACCTGATATTATTCTTATATATTTTATCAACATCGATGGCCGTGAATGTATTTAGATAATGTCCAGATTTCAAGCCTTCTTCTAAGTGCATTGTTACTATCGGAGGTTGGAACTCGGGTGGGTCATTTGCATCAATCAGCTTTATAAGAACGGTAATGCTGTTTTTCTTCTTTGAATACGGTTTTGACGAACAAGTAAAAAGTGGCTCTTCATTTTCAACCGAAATCTCAAGATTGATTTCAGAGTTGGTTTGTGCTTCAAAATCATAAGGCTGCAAAGTTATGGAAAAAATTAATACTGTACTATCATCCATTTTGTTAGAATATATTGCAAACTCTCAAAGAATAAGCAAACCAGAATTCTTTGCAAAACGCCAGATATAAATCATAGAATCATAGAATCATACAGCACAAAAAGAGGCCATTTGGCCCATCGAGTTTGTACCGGCTCTTTGAATAGAGAAATTAATGTCAATCCCACTCCCCAGCCCTTTCCCCATAACCCTGCAAACCCGTCCTCCTCAAATACCCGTCCACCGCGTTTTTAAAAGTTGTTATCGAATCGGCCTTCACCGCCCTTTCAGGCAATGCATTCCAGATTCGAACAACTCGCTGCGTGAAAACATTTCTTCTCATCTCCCCTTTGCTTCTTTTAGATACTATTTTAAATCTGTGACCTCAAGTCACCGACACACCCACCAGTGGAAACAGTTTTTCCTTTTCTAACCTATCAAATCCCCTCATGATTTTGAAGACCTCTATTAGGTCTCCTCGTACCTTTCTCAGCTCCAATGAGAATAATCCCGGCCTCTCCAGCCTTTCCTCATAATCACGGTCCCTCATTCCTGGTGCCATCCTCGTAAATCTCCTCTGCACCCTTTCCAATGCCTTAATATCCTTCCTATGGTTTGGTGCCCAGAGAACTGGGCGCAGTATTCTAACTGAGGCCTAACCAGTGTTTTATATCGGTTAATCATAACCTCCTGACTCTTGTACTCTATGCTCCTATTTATAAAGCCGAGTATCCCATATGCCCTTTTTACAACTTTATCTACCTGTCCGGTCACCTTCAAGGATTCATTTACCTGCACCCCCAGGTCTCTCTGTTCTTTTACCCCCCTTAAGATTGTATTACCAGCCAATATTGCCTCCCCTCATTCTTTCTACCAAAATGCATTACCTTGCATTTCTCCACATTGAAATTCTGTCTGTGTCTTCATGCAGTTGGCTCCTATCCTTCTCACTGTTTACCACCCTAACTAACTTTGTGTCGTCCGCAAACTTGGAAATGGTACTTGCTGTACCCAAGTCCAGATCATTTATGTATATTAAGAAGAGCAGTGATCCTAATACCAATCCCTGGGGGACTCCACTGTACACTTCCCTCCAGTCATAAAAGCAGCCGTTCACCACAACTCTCTGTCTAAGACTGTTGCACCAGGGAGGCAACATACCATCCTTGACTCCCGCCTTCTGTTACAGAAACGTCGGTCTATACCTCTCACTGTTGTATCCCCTATGAAAACAGCATTGCTCCTGTTACCTATGTCCCCCTGTTCCACTACTCGGTTTATACTGTCCTCCCTGGAGATATCAACACTCTCAATGTTCAGTACAGAGTACTGGTTTGAGTGAGCTACACTATTGGGGGCATTCTGCCCAGCTCGTCCCCTCTTCCTACCATGACGGACAGTCACCCAGTCATTTTCCGTCTGAACCCTCGGTGTGTGGGGTGGAGTGACCACCCCTTGAAGTGTCTGGTCCATCAAATGGACCCAAATATTTTTCGGTTTGCTAGGAATTTGGTTACAAGACAAACGCGTCATCCAGGCATTGCAGCAAAGCTGTCTCCTTTGCGGGAAGCTTTGGCGATCAGAATAATAACATTTCCTTGCAGTTACTGTAGCCCTTTTCACGTTGGAGGACGTTTCAAAGCGTTCACAGGATTTACTGGTAAGAACGGTGTCTGTGTATTTTGTAGGCAAATGAGGCAGCCAATTTGCACACAACAATGTCCCACAAACAGCCATTACTAATTTTATCTGGGGACTGTTGGCCAGGACACCGGAAGAAATTTCCTCTCTTTTTGAATAGTGCCACGGATCTTTAACGTCCACCTGAACAAGCATACGGGACCTCAGTTTAACGTCTCCACAATAGTGCAGCTCTGTTTCAAGAAATTCTCCTAAATGAAGCCATGGAGAATTCCGTGAACCCCGTTTCAGCACAGTACATGTACAACAGTATTCAAAGCATAGCAGTGTTAATCATCGAAATATAAAATGAAATCTTGCAAGAATTACCTTATGTTATGTAACGGTTATTCTTCATTTGTTATCAAGCTCACAATTTAACTATTAGCTGAAGCAATGCTGGACTTACATTTTACATTTTCATTACAGAATTACCTCATGGTAATCAGGAAAAAGACATGAAATCGAAAAGCAAAAATTAAATGAGAGCATAAAACCTTAACAAGCACCAGATGTCCCTCGTTTGTTTTTAGGTCTGTACGAATCTCGAAGTGTCCATCCTCATTCCCTTTAGTTATGCTAAATTTTGCTCTCCATGCAGCAGTGTTGGGCAAATCTTTATCAATGACTTGCAATATTGGCCCAGTCACGGTCTGCTTCCTTTCAACCACAGAAAAGGTGTACTAAAATTGAACAGACAATTAAACTCAATCAGAAATGGCTTAAAGAATAATTTTGTGCACAACAATATCTCCAAACAGTCATGAAGTGAGTGACCATTTATTTTATTTGGACTATTGTTGACCAGGACATTGGGAGAAGCTCCTGTCTATTTTAAAGTAGTGCCAAGGGAACTTTAATGTCCAGCCAAACTAGGTTTAATGTCTCATTCTTAAGGACAGACAGCACCTCCGACAATGCAACACCCCTCCACCCTCCAGCACTGCACTGGATTGTGAGCCTATGCCGTGCATAATTGACTGCTGCGTTTCGCCCACAAACTGGACAGTCAATTCACTTTACAGTTTATTCTGTGAAGCGCTTTGAGACGTCTCGAAGACGTGATAAGGCGCTACATCAAATGCAAGGATTATTATTAATATTATATGAGTTCCAAGTCCCAGTGTGGGGTTTGAACTCACAATCGTCTGATTCAGAAACAAGGTTGTTCCTAACTGAGCCAGGCCAGCAATATTTTAAGCTTCGGCTGTATAAAAGGTATAAATGTCTTTCAGGAATTGTATGACCTTAAAATGAGAGATACTAATCTGATGGGGTTATTTTGGGTAGCAATGGCATTGTGCAAATCAATACTTACAGTGTTTGTAACAAATGTAGGAGCATGATTGTTTTGGTCTAAAACTGAAATGACCACCAATGTCGAATTGGTATGTTTCGGTATCCCATTGTCACTTGCTTCAATTTTAAGAGTGTATTTACTTACAGTCTGAAAGATAATGGAAATTAATTTGCAAATCATCCTACAAAACGATAAGCACAACAAAATAATTGAGGTTTCAGGTCTAACTTGGCTTGGTCTGCCTTGGACCTGACCATGTGGTCGATTCATGTTAAATCCCAAACTGAATGCAATTTCAGGAGTGCAAAGTGCAACTTACATTGCAACCTATCTTTTTGACAGCACTTTCAGCCACAATTTCTTCTTCCCTCCCCCACCTCATCCCCCTATCCTGGGCTCCATATCAGCTATGTGAAGCACTCAGAGATGTCCTCCCGACCCGCAAGGCATTATAGAAATGTATGTTGTTTGTTGTAAATGGCTGTGGTTCTTTTAACCATACTCCTTACAATTTTGAGATAAGTATCAATAATCAGACGTACATGTAACAACAACTTATATTTATAAGTTTATATTTATTATAGTGACTTCACGTAGGGTAAAGTCTTGGAGCACTTTACAGAGACATGTCAATGTGGATAACTAACTATCCACTCCTGATCTTAAGAACTATTACCAATTTACTTGTGCTAAGGATTGGACAATTGTACTAATATCATCAGTTCTGAGTGTCACTGGTAAGAAGGGTTATTATTTTAACTCGTGCACTACACCATATGCAATATTAGTCTAATGCATTCTGAAGTACATTTTTGCTATCAAGCTCACAATTTAACCCTTTGCTAGGACATTTTTTGAAGTACCTGATAGTCTAAGCACCCTCTAAAATAAATCATTCCAGTTTTTGAGTCGATAGCAATAATATCCGAAGACTTGGGAGTCTGAGAAGTAATTGTATACGTGATGTTAGAATTGGGATGGTTTTCTTGGTCTGCATCGTAAGCTTTTACTTGATGTATCTCTGCACAGTAAGACAATATAGAACATACAGTTAAGCAGAGGAACATAATAATAATCCTTCCATTTGATATAGCACCTTATCACGGTATCGAGACATCTGAAAACGCTTCACAGGATGTACTGTAAGGTGGTGTGATGCATGTATTTTGTGGGCATATGCTTATGCATTTACTACCCTACATATGGCAACACATTCTGTTATCACATAAAACATCAGTAGACGAATTCTAGGCTTTTGAGGAAAAGCACATTTTTTTAACCAATCGACTGTCATAGTTTGAAATGCTTTCAGACATCTTAACAACGTACTAAGTAAGGTGTTAGATCAAATGGAAGGATTATTACTCATCAAAAAAAAATCCTGTTACTTTCAGCAAAAAAAAATAGATTTTAAAATATGTTAAAGACCCTTCTTAAGTTAACACTTGCCTTCTGTCGTATTTTCAGGAACTTCAATCCAATATTCCTTTTGGGTAAATTGTGGTATGTTATCATTGAGGTCCTTTACGATGATGATAATTACCAATGGACGATTAGATGATCCACTTTGGCTATAAGCAGCATGCAACTGAGAATAACAAAAGACATGAGAGTTAGCAATGTTGGTAAATTAAATAACAAGAAAACCAAGTTGAGTTAATTTAAGCGTTTCGCCCACAAAATACACAGTCAATTCACTTTACAGTATATTCTGTGAAGCACTTTGAGACGTCTCGAAGATGTAATAAGGCACTGTATCAAAATGCAAGGATTATTATTATTAAAATGCTGCAACTTTTGTTTTGCAAAGTGGCAGCAACCTTATGTATAGAAAGTGTCTTCTAATGAACCTCGTCTTAGTTAAGGAGGACTAATCAACAAATTCTTTGGGTTAACTCAACTAAATTCCCATATTAATTTGTTTTTTTTAAAAAAAGGGCTAGAAGAACAAATAGCTGGATATCTTCTTGGAATAGTTAGTATAAGAAAAAATTATGTTTACGTTTCTTATATATGTCTGCAAAGTGCTTCGTTGAGCTTCAGCTGTACTTTGAGCACATGTTGACAAATATTTACTGAACATCAAAATATTGCTTACCTTGATTGTTGACTTTTCCTCCAGGGCAATTTTTTCACGATCAATTGCCCCATTAACAACCAGTTCCGATTTTTCGTTTAGCTTAAATAGCCCCATATTTGGTTCTTCATTAATACCAGGACCATCTATTGTGTAGCCAGGAGGAAAAGTATGTACCTGCACAAACAGATAATAACCACAATACATTTTATGTTCATTCCCAGGCCTGGCTGAATTATCGTGTGAATATAGTTTTACTGTGCGATAGCTTGCAATTATTTCTGAGTAGCAAGCTTGCTACCGTGACAAAATATAACCTACATTATACTTTATATTCTATAAAATTATCTCTGTCTACTAATATAGTTGCATTATTATTTTGTTCTTTCAAAGCATCCCTATTTTAACTATTCAATGAGATTTAATGTAATCCTTTAATCAAATGTACTGGAACACAATTTTTTCTTGCCATCAAACAAAAAGAAAAATAAACACACCACACACGATAATGTGTTGTGAACTTAATTTACTTTTTTAGGGAAAGGACCCTTATCGTTTTCTTCAATGGTAAATGTTTTCAGTACCCAAGCCCGTTTCATACGACGTAATGGCTTATTCGATACCGTTTTTGGTTGTTCTTGTGTTTGTTCTGTCCTGAGGACCTGTAAGATCATAGAATCGTAGAATTATTGAATTATACAGCACAGAAAGAGGCCCATTCAGCCCACTGTGTCTGTGCTGACTCTTTGAAAAGAGCAATCCAAATCAATCCCACTCCCCCACTCTATCCCCATAGTCCTGCAAACTTGTCCTCCCCAGATAAATATCTAAGATACAAGATTGATTGCTGTCACCTTCACCTACTGCAAATATTTAAATTCAGCTCTTATTTTTCCTGAGAAATAGGCAGGAACCATGTGAAACAAAAGTTCCATTTGAAAAGACATGATTACATCATTGATATTTCCTGTTAAGCTATTTCAAATAAGGACGCGTTGAAGAAGAGATTTGCAAAAATTACATTCCTTGCATGCTTACCTCGGTCTTGGAAATATGAAATGGTTCTTGCTTGCTCGCCAAAGTCCCTTCATTTTGCGGAAGGCAATTCGCCATTCCAATCTTGGAAAACATAACTTTGCTTAGTTAAACAATGAAAACAATAACACATTGCATTTGTATAGGGCCATTCACGTCGGGAGGACATCCCAAGGTGTTGAATAAGAAATGTGACACAATAAGAAAGCTATTGCTTTCTATCAATATATTTTTGAGAGCCAAATACAAATATAGATAACATAATTCTCGACTTTGAAAGGCGCAGAACACAACAACAAATTGCATTCATATAGCGCCTTTCATGTTGGGTCAACATCCCAAGAGCATCCCAAGGCACTGGGCAGTCAAGGGTTTGCACCCGAGCTGGGTTTTGGCCTCGGGAGAAGTGCGGACCAAGGGGGAAGGGGGTAGGAATATGATTGAAGGCGCAGGCAAAAAGGTCTTGAGACAGACCTTGAAGAAGGTGAAGGAAGGGACAAAGCAAAGGAACTGTGGCACGGATTTCCAGAGAATGGGGGCACAAAGGCTGAAGGCCTGTCGGCTGATGATGTGGAGGAGCCCACACAAGGTGCTCACTCATGTCGGTCACAAACGTTTCAGACATGATGGCTTTGGGAGCCGACCCACCAGCTCGATTTGAGGAAAGCAAAAATTTTAAATCAAGCATTGCTGCTCGACGTAATAATAATAATAATAATATAAGCCTTGCATTTGATATAGCACCTTATCACGTTGTTGAGACGTCTCAAAGCACTTCACAGGATTCACTGTAAAATGGATTGACCGTATTTTGTGGGCAAAACACAGCAGCTAATTGCACAGCAGTATCCCACAAACAGGTTGAATGACCACATTTTTTTTGAGGGCTTATTATCCTGGAAACGATAAGGTTTCACCCTTAGGCAAGTTTCCTTACTCCACACATAAGGAAAGGTAAGGTTTCAATCTTACGTAAGGTTTCACCCTTAGGTAATTTTCCAAAACCGCTTCACACAACTGACATTTGATTAAAATAATAAATGGAGATACTCGAATGTACTAAAATCAATTTTGCTTATAAAATTAGTAAGGAAAACAAAGTAAAATAGGTAGTGGATGTTTGAAAATAACAAGAAACACTTAATGAAAATTATAAATCCCTTAAATACTGTATTACTCAGTATTATGCAGTATTACTTACCATTGTGAAGAGAAGCACGGCAATGTACATTTTCTTCACAGTGATAAACTGAAGGCAGCAGGTCATTGCATGCAATGTTATTTATGTGTGGTATCTTGATAGCAGATCAACATAATGGATTTCACTGTAAACTGATACTGTGTATGTCCATATATGAGCTTATCTTACCGCTCACACCCTCTTTGTACATAAAAGGTAGATGTTGTACCCTGCTGAGCTAACGAAAGGAAAGTTCAAAACAACAACAAAATTCAACAACAAAATGACATTCATAAAATGCCTTTCACATCAGAAGGACATCTCAAGGCGCTGGACATACAGAGTTACAGAACCGAACTGGGGGTCGGGCTTGGGGAGGGTGAAGGGCGGTGGGGGGGAAGCAGGGAGATCGAAAGCACGGTCGAAGAGGAGGTCTTGAGTTGGGTCTTGAAGGTGGCAGGGGAGGGGGCGAGGCGGAGGAACAGCAGAATGGAGTTCTAGAGGGCAGGGGCAGAGTGGCAGAAGGCCTGCCCCCCAATAGTGGGGCAGGCAGGGTGGTTTGCATTAAGTAAGCATATACATTCCATAAATATTCCACAATCGGATCCACCAGCCTGGCTCAGTCACTAGCATTCCAATTTTCCTCCAGTGTAAAGACCCACCTTCAAAGCTCTAGGTTAGACATGGTCTAGGCTGTCACTCTAGTGCACGGGTGAGGGAGCACTGCATTGCCAGAGGTCCCGTCCTTCACACAAGACTTTAAACCAAAGACCAGTCTGCCTGGTTCAGGTACGATTGAAAAAGAGAAGGGAGTTTTCTCCCAGTTTATTGGCCCAATATTCCTTCAAATACAATTGGTCATTCACTTCATGGCTATTTGAGGGATATTGCTATCTACAAATTGACTGCCACTTTTGCGTATAAATACAGTCAATCCACTCTCCAGAAATGCTTTGAGCCATTTCTTGCGTGATAATGCGTTACATCAAATGTAAGGATGATTATTATTGTGCCAAAGGAAGGAGATAGAGGAATGGAGGTTTGGGGCCATTTCAACCAGAAGTGAAATAACATGCTGTAAATGATAGTGGGTTTGATGCAAAGGTTCTCAGTCACTGTCTGAGTAATGGAAAGCTGTGGAAAAGAAGTTTAAACTTGTTTTTAAATCCACTCCAACACTGTTGGTGGTAAGGAAGCTGTTGGAGAAAACACTTTTACATTAAAATCTCTATTTTTGGTTCATTGTGAGGCGAATGATCTTTTGTGAAAGGAAAATGCAATGCTAAGTCATAATAATTTCTGAAAGGTTTGCAACATGAATTGCCACGCTCACCCATTAAAATAATATTTTACACGGACTGTTTGATTCCTTGTGCATCATACATCGTGCGGCAGCCAATTGCACACACCAGTGTCCCATAAACAGTCGTGGATTGAGTGACCACATTATTATTATATTTTTGAAGGGATTATTACACCCAGAAAAGCGATCCGCCAATCGACTAACAACCCGGGTTCCTATTTACTGCCAGGTAAACAGAGGCATATAAACAGAGTGAGGAAACTTGCCTAAGGTCGCACCCTGAATGCTTTCATTTTATTCATCATTTTATGGGACACGTACATTCACTGGAAGCAGAAGTTCTTTACCCATAATAGGCATCATTTAATCATTTAATCTTTTCGGTTATCTGAATGCTTTTCGTGGAATAGAGAACACACAATCTTTTATCAGTTATCTGAATTAAGGCATCACATGTGCTTGTGAGTCATTGCTCTTAAAAAAGGGAGTGCTGGATGCAAATTGTAGCCTTATGCCTACAACTTAAGCTGTTAAAATTTAACTCAGACACTCTATAGCAGTTGACGCACTATAATAAAACAAGGATTATTATACTACCTCCCTTTGTTACCGACAGCAATTAAAGATAGCGTGTGTACCTGCCAGTCTCACAAAAGAGACTGTGTGACAGTGTACTCATGTTTATGACAGGATAACTGCTGTCTACCTGAATTTAAATTGACCCACGGTAAAATTTAAAACATTACGGTGCACTGTAGTACAAATTAACGTAACCAGCAAATGGTGATTCAGTTTATTTTGTTTTTGCGACAAAATAATATTAAGCACCACCCAATAAGAAAGGGATTTTCTGGTAATCCCTACCCAAACGCTGCACTCCTGAGATCTCAGCCTTGGTTATGAAGTGGCTGATCGCAGATTTCCAAGACTCAAGTTGAGATTTGATGCGGAGTAAGCAACGGTACGGTGCATTTATTACAACATCAAATCCCAGACCCAGTGACAATACATCTCCAGAGTCATGTAGAAACAATCAGAAGTAAAATAATGATTGCAGCAAAAAAAAACATGAATTATTCCATTCTCACTTCCTCCCAGGCAGCAGAATATTAACTCCTCTCTGGTAAAGGAAGAAATTAAGTGGTTTCACTACATTCCAGCTGGAAGACTCTCAGAACAATGCTGGAAGAATCTGGTCATATGCAACAGGCGCAGATGGGACCTCAGTTTAATGTAAATCTAGACTATGTGTTCCAAGTCCTTTAATAATAATAATGATAATCCTTGCATTTGATGTAGCGTTTTCACGTCTTCTAGACGACTCAAAGTGCTTCACAGAATAGACTGTACAGTGAATTGACTGGGTACTTGTGGGCGAAATGCGGCAGCCAATTGCGCACAGCAGCGTCCCACAAACAGTCATGGATTGAAATGACCAATTTATTATTGGGGTTTTTTGAGGGATTATTATCAGGTGTATGGAGTAAGGAAACTTGTCCAAGGTTTCGCCCTGCCGGGAATCGAACCCAGGTCTCTCACTTGCAAAGCGAGTGCTCTAAGCACTGAGCTACAGGACTCTCTTCCGAATCAAAGGAAAGAGTCCTACCAACCGAGGCAGGCTGCCATCACAACTTTTTATTTTTTCCTGTTCATATTAAATGTATACTTAAATTGTGGAAACAGAACATGCAAGTCTTTTCATATCAATCCTTTTCACACCTCTTCATCCCACTTCAATACTTAGTATTCAAGACACTGAGTTGGGTGATGAACTGGCCATTAAAGTGTTTATCTTTGCTGCTTACCTGTGAATTAGTTTAGGGCTGAAATCTATATTTAATAAACTAGGTGACAGACTGGAGTCCATCGTATGAATCTTTTCTTTAGTCATTCCATAAATAGAAGAACTCGCTGTGTGAATATTTGGTCTGGATATCTTAGATTATTACAGAACATAGAGATGGAACTGTTTTATAATGATTTATTTGTAAGGTAGGAAATAGTTTCATTTGATGTTTGCAATTGCGTGAACAGGGTTGTTGGCAAGGTGAAAATTGTCTTTTTGATGAGTGCAATCCAATTTCTATTGGGAAATGACTTATGCTGCACTCTGTATTTATTTTGTTCCTTTGTTATATGGCTGGAGATTGTGTTGAGCTATTCTTTTAAACAAATGTGTCTGCTGTGGACCTGCAGAATATAGTGATGCTGTTGTGTCTCACTGTAACATCCCAAATTACTTTAATTCAGTCTCTTTGTCGAACAATTATCAACCACACGAAAAAACATTTGTATTACTGTAATTCTAATGATTATCATTGTGGTAATGAATATATTTGAACCTGAGCTTTTCACTACGCTACCTTTTATGGTTACTAATGCAAATTTAATGCTATCTCTTAGCGATCACAATAATTCACCTCAATTTTGCTCCATTCATTGATGAAACTAATTTGCAAACCAGTGTTTGCAATATTGTAAAACAGGAATTACATGAGTCTTTCAGTGTTGTTTTACTCATCGCTATGAGGACTGATTTGAAAATAGAGCTTCAACATATAGTTTTACGTTTGCATGTACTGTTTGGCAAACCTGGTGCTAAATGTGTGCATATTTTGTGAAGTTTTGATGCTCTTCAAATCCCTCTATGAAATAATATTTAAAAACCATATCAGTGATATTGATGGTATGAGAGAAGGGGCTTTGTTGGAATAAGAAATATGTTGTTGCTTAATATATTGTTTTAGTTCAATTAGAAATGCTTATGCAATTGTTGGTCCATATTGGTCCATAGCACTCGCTTTGCAAGTGAGAGACCTGAGTTCAATTCCAGGCAGAGGGCGAAACCTTGGGCAAGTTTCCTTACTCCACACAGAGCCTAATAATAATCCCTCCAAAACAAAAACAATAATAAAATTGGTCATTTTCAATCTAAGACTGTTTGTGGGACATTGCTGTGTGCAATTGGCTGCCGCGTTCGCCCACAAATATACAGTCAATTCACTTTACAGTGTGTTCTGTGAAGCGCTTTGGGACGTCCTCCCGACGTGAAAAGCGCTATATCAAATGCAAGGATTATTATTATTATTATTATATTGGAATGATTTGTAGACACTATAAGTCAGCTAAGCTTGTCTAAACATGATGTACGTTCAGGGGAAGTTAGTAATAATAATAATCCTTGCATGTGATGTCATGCCTTATCACGTAGTTGAGACATGTCAAAGCGCTTCACAGAATGTATTGTAAAGTGGAGTGACTGGATTTTGTGGGCGAAATGCAGCAGCCAATTGTGCACAGCTATATCACACAAGCAGTATAATTTTAGATAATATATTATGGAAAATGACAGTGTGTGAGCCTTGAAGAGAAAAATTGGTTCAGAAGTAAGAAATGTGCTTAGTTATTATTTGTTGATGTTATGGTCCTTGCAATGTTTCAGTTAGAATCAGATCAAGGCTACTGTACTCAAGGATGGTCCCAACTTGTTTAAACCAGCCCGCAAGCAATTATCAGTTGGGTAAGAACTGCAGATTCACACGGACCATTCTGATGTTTATTAATAAAAAGGACAATTATAAAAGAGCTATAGCCAAGCTTTAACTTGTTGAGTCAGAATTGGTTATCCAAGTGTTGAGTTCGAGTTAGTGAGAGAGCGACCACCTCCCTCCCCAAAGTTTTGTGACTCAAGACACTCAACTTCGACTGCCAGATCCAAGCTTCCAACAATTCCAGCAACATCAGAAAAGCAAAAAAGCGAAAGAGAAGGATAGCAGAAGAACTGTAACAATACGAGAGCGCAGCTGCGATACAACTGCTGGAGATTCAACTTTGATCCTCTGATTCAATGCCTGTAATTATCAACATTCCAGTTCCAGGGGAGATAACTTTGATCTTTTGATCCAATGCCCACTCTTATTAACCCTCCAGTTCCAGAGAAGATACCTTTGCTCCCTTGATTAAATGCTCGCTATAATCAACTCACAGAGTGTCGGTGCTACTGCTAACTGTACCTCCCAGGCTCAACAGAGTCGTTAACTGTACTACTGGCTGTACCTTCGAATGAATCCAAGCAGGAGATGTGCTTATGAAGTTATAGACTTTGATATTGTGATTACAGTAACATTGCTCTACGAGAGTATAACAGCAAATAAGGTTTGTCATCACCATGTGCATTGTAACTCTGATATTGAACTAATACAACTAAGATTTACTGCCTTATTAAGTAAATCAACTTGAAAGTATAAAATACAAATGACTTTGGTTCCTCTGTTCACGGGTCCCTCATATAAAATTTTGGCTAACAGAATAAGAGGGACTTTTCTGGCCACATCTTTGTCCCCGGCTGAAGCAACAACAACAACAACTTGCATTTATATAGCACCCTTCACACGGGGTAGCATCCCAGAAAGCGTCACAGTGGT